AAAGTCAAAGTTATAGCTTCATTAAGGATATTGAAGTAATTTTATACATTATATACAAACATATTGGGTCCCACTATACATTAAATAATCTTATCACCTAACACTATCTAAATTGAATATCCTGACACCTACCCACCCTGCCACCCAGCCCCTATGCACGCCACCCCCCCAACACTTCTCTCTCACACAATGACACACACATTACACACACAATACATACACAACTCACCCGACACACACACACACAACACACACAGACCGTCGGCGACAACACACGGACACACACCGCCGCCGCCGCCGGTCACACACAGCACACAGTCGGCCATCACATTAACCGTCGCCTCTGCCACGACCAACGCCATAGCCGCCGCCGCGCCTCCGTGAATCTCATCGACTGCGCATTCTTCATCGGCCATCTCAGTTCTTCTCCGGCGACCTTTCAACGGTCGCCAACCTTCATCTCCTCTCAAGACAAACCTCCGTCGCCGCCCCTAATCATCTCCGGCGCCCTCCGTCCGCCGTCGTTGGGATAAGATATGGCGGATGAAGGTGGAAAGCTTCGAACGACGCCATCACCGGACGTCCGCCGCCTCCTGCAGCTCGAAACTCGCCATCGCCGATGTGAGAGGAGGCGATCCGGCCATTTCAGAGCCTGAAAATGGAATGGAGTGTTTGGGCTATTTTTTTTTAGAATTAGATTAAGTTTAGGGGTCTACGTGCAATTTAATAATTTTAATTATATTTCAATTTAAACTCATGGGTCAAATATATAATTATTGAAAGTTAATAACAAAATATTTTGTTATGCATTTATATTAAAATAATAAATAAATTATTAAAAAAATAAAATAAGATAATAAAGTAATATAAAAATATTTTGAAGTAATAATTAAATTATTAAATAGAAATAATATTAGATATTAAAATAATATAAAAGTAATTTGTAGTAGCATACAAATTATATAATAAAAATAATAAATAACAACTATTTTAATTTTTTAGGTTAATTCAATGTACAATTATACACATAATTTTCATGGGAATGTATAAATTAGCTAGTGCACTTTATATAGATGAATATCACACTTTATAAATAACATATTGCACTTTTATAAACATTGTGTTGCACTTAAACACATCATCTAACTAAAAAATACAAAAGCATACAAAATACCAAAATTAATACGTTGCACTTTACACGGTAATATATTTCACCTTATAACACAACACGTTGCACCGTATAGAATAATACGCTGCACGTACCAAAATATACAACAATTATGTTAATCGATCGAATAAAATATTAGTCGACTAAATGTCGAATATAGTCTTTTTAAATAAGTATAATAACTGAACATGCCAAATTGTATGAAAAATATTACCAATTTTTTTATATATAATTTTTTTAATGAAAAATAATACTATTTTTTATTTATTTTTTGTATGTATTGCAAGTGCACATTATAGTTATACAAATTGCACATAAATGACTACCAGGTTGCACAAAATCGAATGAGAACCAACGAACATAAATTCGGTACGAACTTTTAAATTTTGTTTCGATCCGATTATCATTATTATTTTTATTTAATTCAAAATTTATATTTCGATTCGATTATTATTTTTATTTTTAAAACTCAGGTATCGGATTTATG